CAGATGAAAGGACAGAAAATTGTTACAGATTAAAGGGATGGTCATAGGAAAACATATTTATGAAATTAAACCTATGATCCTAGATTGGATCCTGAACCGAAAATATTTTTTTTCATTTTTTAATAAAAGGACATTAGTGAGACAATTGGACAAATTTGAATAAGGTCTACTAAGGAAAATATTAATACTATATATCATTGTTACTTTTCTGAGTTTGATAATTGTATTGTCTTTACATAGGATAATTTTTATGTATTTAGTGTATACACTTAAGTATGTAGGGGTTAAAGGAGCAGTTATGTCTACCATTTTCAAACAAATAAAAATTGCAGGTATGTAAATAATTTAGAGAATGATAGACATGATTGAGTATTAAAATTTGGGGAAAACAGGTGAGGGTTATAGGGGGATTCTTTGTACTACTTTTGCAACTTCCCAAGTGAAATTGTTTTTCTTAAGAATATAAAGGAGGTAGTAACTTAATGAAGTTTGTCACTAACTTGTTTTTTTTCATCTGTAGATTATTTATTGCATATCAGTGGTTTGGGGGATGATGATTTGCAGAGAAATGTTAATGAGAGTGTATCAAATGAGTAATACCATTACTGTATGACAGAACACTATAAAAATGAGTTCATAGATGTCAAAGCATTTTTACTATACATGAAAAGTAACAGTTTTATAGACAGCCATCATTATTGCATAGTATTATGATTTGTGTGTACTAATGTCAAATACATTCAAAGATCTTTATATTTGCTTCTACTTTGAACATTGAATTCTTTTCATGACTAACTTGATTTTTGAGTGGGTTGTTAATAAGGCCTCTTTGGGTTAATTTCCTCATCTGTAAAATGAAGTGCCTCGACTCGATCAAATAAAGGTCCTTTCAGTTCTAAAATTCTGTGATTTTATAACTAGATAGAAAATAAAAGTTAATTTTCCCATATGTATCAAAAGCTGTTGTCAGACACAGCCTGTGTGCCAGGTGACAATGTACCACAGATTTTTTTCTGTCCAGAAAATTTTGTTGAGACATTTTTTAGTTGGACATCTCATTTGTATGCCACTTTTTATGTATTAATGATATGTTTTTTTAGCTTAATGTGGCTTAAAAATCTACTTTTATAGGATTTCCCAATGAAAACTTTCTTGAAAAGACCCAGGATTGATAATGAAAGTTTATTTAGTCTTAACAGATACGTATTTTCTGCAGTGTAGAATTGTCAAGATACAAGTAGCTGATGATGTGAAAACTACATTTATGTCCAATATGAAATATTTTTTGGTTGAATTTAACAAAAGCAAAACTTTTAAAATCTCCCCCCCCCTCTCATCCCTCCCAGCTTGGTGATCCAGCTATTTTTCCTGCTGTAATAGTGGAACATGTTCCTGGTGCTGATATTCTTAATAGTTATGCTGGTCTGGCCTGTGTGGAAGAGCCCAATGACATGATCACTGAGAGCTCTCTGGATGTTGCTGAGGAAGAAATCATAGATGATGACGACGATGACATCACCCTTACAGGTGTGTGTACATCCAGCCACCTCATACTGCTGCATAGTTAGGCAGTTGCCTAACCTGTGATATTTGGAGCCTAAAAAGTCCCTAACTTGGTTTTGAGTCACTCCATTACCTGCAGAAGCTAGAGCCCTGCAGTAGAAGGACATGCATTTATTTTTCATCTGCCTCTGTTCCATAGTGCTTTCTCCCCTCCCCTTTTTTCTTTCCTAAATGTATTGAGATGAATGCTATTGGAGGCATGTAAGAGGAACCAGACCAACTCAATTCCTCAGGTATTCACTGAGCACTTTTTATATGCTTAGCTCTGTATTCCTGGTAACAATGAGAAGTTATTAGTAGGGAAAGAAACATTCTTTTTTTCCTCAGGAAGCAAAATAGGATGCTATAACCTAGATGTTGGATAAGGTGCTAGGATTTAAAGAAGATTCCCCTTCTGGTTCAGTCAGAACTAGTAAAATATTTCAAACTTAAAGAGTTCTCTATGTAAGTGTGGGGTAGTGGTAGTGCTATTTTAGTCAGTCTTAGATATTAGTACGTGCATTTGTAGTTTTATACAAACGTGTTCATATATCTTTGCCAGAGATGTTTAAGGTGCTTGAGAAAATTAATTACTTGGAAACAAAAATTATTTGAATATTCTTACATTAAAAAGAGCAGGATAGTAACATTTGTCACAATATTATTAGCCAAACCTAGATTTTATTTGTATTTTAGCCATTTCTCACTAATGTCCTTTTTTTATTCTAGGGTCTTATCTTGAATTTCACATTGCATTTAGTTGTTGTTTCATCTTAGTTTCTTCCAGTCTATAATAATTCCTTTGACTTTCCTTGACACTTTTAAGGAGTACTGGTCAGACATTGTAGAATGTCCCTCAGTTTTATTTGTGTGATGTTTTCTCATGATTGTATGAGACAATGCATTCTGGACAAGAATACCAACAAGATGGACAAGAATACTGCCAAAATGGCATTCTGTTCTCCTCAGTGTGTCATACTAACATAGTAGATTAAAAGAATTTATTATCTCTTTAATTCTCATGACAGAGAAAACTGAAATGAGAGAGGTTAAATTAAATAACTTGTCTAAAAGATACGTATTTTCTGCAGTGTAGAATTGTCAAGATACAAGTAGCTGATGATGTGAAAACTACATTTATGTCCAATATGAAATATTTTTTGGTTGAATTTAACAAAAGCAAAACTTTTAAAATCTCCCCCCCCCCCCTCTCATCCCTCCCAGCTTGGTGATCCAGCTATTTTTCCTGCTGTAATAGTGGAACATGTTCCTGGTGCTGATATTCTTAATAGTTATGCTGGTCTGGCCTGTGTGGAAGAGCCCAATGACATGATCACTGAGAGCTCTCTGGATGTTGCTGAGGAAGAAATCATAGATGATGACGACGATGACATCACCCTTACAGGTGTGTGTACATCCAGCCACCTCATACTGCTGCATAGTTAGGCAGTTGCCTAACCTGTGATATTTGGAGCCTAAAAAGTCCCTAACTTGGTTTTGAGTCACTCCATTACCTGCAGAAGCTAGAGCCCTGCAGTAGAAGGACATGCATTTATTTTTCATCTGCCTCTGTTCCATAGTGCTTTCTCCCCTCCCCTTTTTTCTTTCCTAAATGTATTGAGATGAATGCTATTGGAGGCATGTAAGAGGAACCAGACCAACTCAATTCCTCAGGTATTCACTGAGCACTTTTTATATGCTTAGCTCTGTATTCCTGGTAACAATGAGAAGTTATTAGTAGGGAAAGAAACATTCTTTTTTTCCTCAGGAAGCAAAATAGGATGCTATAACCTAGATGTTGGATAAGGTGCTAGGATTTAAAGAAGATTCCCCTTCTGGTTCAGTCAGAACTAGTAAAATATTTCAAACTTAAAGAGTTCTCTATGTAAGTGTGGGGTAGTGGTAGTGCTATTTTAGTCAGTCTTAGATATTAGTACGTGCATTTGTAGTTTTATACAAACGTGTTCATATATCTTTGCCAGAGATGTTTAAGGTGCTTGAGAAAATTAATTACTTGGAAACAAAAATTATTTGAATATTCTTACATTAAAAAGAGCAGGATAGTAACATTTGTCACAATATTATTAGCCAAACCTAGATTTTATTTGTATTTTAGCCATTTCTCACTAATGTCCTTTTTTTATTCTAGGGTCTTATCTTGAATTTCACATTGCATTTAGTTGTTGTTTCATCTTAGTTTCTTCCAGTCTATAATAATTCCTTTGACTTTCCTTGACACTTTTAAGGAGTACTGGTCAGACATTGTAGAATGTCCCTCAGTTTTATTTGTGTGATGTTTTCTCATGATTGTATGAGACAATGCATTCTGGACAAGAATACCAACAAGATGGACAAGAATACTGCCAAAATGGCATTCTGTTCTCCTCAGTGTGTCATACTAACATAGTAGATTAAAAGAATTTATTATCTCTTTAATTCTCATGACAGAGAAAACTGAAATGAGAGAGGTTAAATTAAATAACTTGTCTAAGATCACTCAGCCCCCATTGATAACACTGATGAACAACACTTAAGTTTTCATATTTTCCCTTCTTACAAAACATGTTCTCCTATATTCACATTTTTTGTTCAAAGCAACCCAAGGAAAGTTTTTTGATAAATCTAGACTTGTTTCTTCTTTATCTATAAGGGATATTAGATTAATCAGATTAGAGGTTTCTCTTCATTGCTGACTGTGATCTGTGTGTTTTATGTAACAGAATGGCCGCCACTGTGCATGTATCTGTTGTGTGGCTGGTGGGGTGTTTGCAGTCAGTATATCCTGATGTGTAACTTCTTGATGCCTTAGAGTAAGGCTATATACTCTGTAGTTTGGGAACTAGGGTCTCCCCTGAAGGGTTGTTTATTTCTGGTTTTAGTCATCAGGGAAGACATTGGTCCTCAGAGAAGAAGCTGAGAGTTGTCTTTTCAACTTCTGAAAGCAAATTTTGTTGAATTTTTAAGAGAAGGAATTGCTTCTTTGTTCATTTCACTTTCTTGGGTTTAGATGTGAAGATAGCTGCTGTTGAGATACAGACAGGCTCCTTCCTTCGTGGAAGATACAACTGTATGGAACGGGTTCAGAAAACAAGCCATATCTTGGAAACCAGATTTACTGTTTGCATGTTTCTTTTCCCTCCCCTTTCTTATCTCCCAACTGGAGCCTTTGTTTAACTCTTCAATCCTTGTTTGAACAATGTTGCGAGAAAGGAAAGAAACTTTTAGCCCTCCTTAATTTACAGTGAGGGAGGAACAAGCACTGTGCCTTTTACAGAAACTGCAGGGGAAGAAAGACATGGAGTAGAACAGTTTATAAACTGTACTTAGGAGTCCCACGTAGTACTTCAGATGGTATTAAGGAATTACTGTTAATATTTTTAGGTATGACAATAGCACTGTATTAGATACTTTATGTTTTAGTGCAAATGCTAAAATATTCAGAGATAAAATATGGTGTCTTAGATTACTTCCATTAATCCTGGGGTGGGGATGTGTGGAGTGGGGTGAGGGCTCCTTAGGGGAAGTGAGTAGAGTATGGGTGAAAGAAGATCGACGACCATGGTTGATGATGAGAATGGATAAATGAGAATTCATGATTCAATTATACAATGTTCCATAGTCTTGATTTTGTTTGAAATTTTCAATAATAAAAAGATTGAACTATTTTTATGGATTTGAGGCTTATATTAGACTGCAGCTGTCATCTGTAACCCCTGATTTCAAGTTTTCATGTTCATCAGAACACTTTCATTTTTATCATTGGCTTATCTCATATCAAGCTTGATAGGCATTTGAACTTACCAAAATAATGTTAAAAGAGCATTTTTATCTATATGCTGGAGTTCCACATAAGGTCTCATTTGGAAAAAGATTGTACTGTTAAAAATATTTGAAAATCATTTGACTGTGAGGTGGGGATTCTTCTTTCATTACTAGTCTTTGAGAATCTGAAAGTGAAATTATTAGAAGTTATATTTCCGCAAATGGAAGGCAACTATGATGACTTTTAAAAATATTCATTAGTAAATCTTTTGTATATTATTCAGTAATAAATCTTCTCTTTTAAAAAATGCTATTATTTGCCCTTTTGTTTATACTTACTCTTATCTGCTTTTACAAAGTCAAACACATTTTTAGTCATTTGTAATAATTTCAAATGTATTTAATAAATTGTACGCTAAGTTTTTATCAGTGCTTTCTGCCCTTGGTATGTAAGTAGATTTCAACTAGTTACCAGGTTACAGCTAATCTAATATGAAGTTTAAAAATTTATATATTAACAAACTGAATAGTTGTGGGAACTCAGTATGGTCAAGAAGTGAAGAGGCTGGGATTGAGAAGGGGCACAAAGGAAACGTAAAAGGTGATGGTAATGATCTATTAAATTTGGTTATGTTTAGTGGAAACACAATTTATGTATTAAAAGCTTGTGGGTTGCCTATGAGAAAATTTTGTCATACATTTAATGAAGGTCCAAAATTTTCTTTTTCTTTTTAAAAGCTAGGTGTACTTATTTTTGGTATTTTTTCCTGTTTCATGTGGGAACCTACCAATTTATTTTGTGTTTCCCAGCCTAAGGACTGAAGGTGAATGGAGTAAAGTTTTGTAAATTAGAGCACTGACACTAAACATGTTTAGCTTGTCTCACATTTTTGAGATTCAAAAAGCATGATTTCTATATATAATTATGAAATGCTGTCTAGTGTGTATTAAGATAAAAAAGCGCAAGGGTCAGGAAAGCATTAATAGTATACTACCTATTATTTAAGATAGGGGAAACAATATAAATGATATGTGTGCACTTGCTTATATTTTAAAAACAGATAAACCAAAAACTAATAAAAATGGTTCCTTATAGGGAGAAGGAGGGAACAGGGATGAAAACTATTCTCTAAATATAAATTGTTTGGTAGTTTTCACTTTGAATCCATGTAAATATTTAACATAATTATAAAAAAAATTAAATCCAAAAGAGGGAAATGTAG